GAAAATTATAAAATATAATATAGAGCTAAAAATAAATATATACTAATATAGGAAAAAAAATAAATTCTATTACAGTACCTTAACTTTTGCATCAAAGTATTGTTTCTGTTTCTGTTGTGACTTATTAGTATTGTTTTTTGCATTTACTTACCATTGGGGCAATTTGTCTATTAGCTTATAAGCTCTATATAGAATACTGTCTTGTAAGTTAATATCTTTGCTACTTTCTGGTAGTGGTTCAACAGGTATTAAAACTTCAATTGGCAATATAGCTTGTCAATCATAAATAAGTTAAAGTAGAGTATATTCAGTAGTAGCATGCTTCTTTGTTTAATATACTAATAATACAGCAGAAATATAAATCTTCCAATTATCTGTTCCTTTTACTTTAGCAAGTGATTCACAGAATGTTCAGTTAAATCTTTCAACCATGTCATTTGTTTGTAGATGATATGGTAATAAGAATTTATGTTTAATTAGAAACCTTTCACATAATATGCAGATAGTTTCACTAATAAAATTTTATTTTTGGTCAAATAAGATAATTTTTAGGATTTCATATCTACAAACTATTTTTTCAAAAATAAATTGTACTAGTGTAGCAGCACTAGCATTAGGCATAGCTCAGGCTTCTGACCATCATGCTAAATATTTAGTAACAATAATTATATAGCGATTATTTTGTTTAGTAAGAAAAAAGGTTCTACTAAATCAATACCAAGTCATTCAAAGGCTCATCTTATTTGAATAGGATGAAGATGTTCCTTTCTTCATCCTTTTTGACATTGTTGACATTCTGTACAAGTATGAACATATTCTTGTACATCTCTATACATTTGGTCTCAATAATATTGTTCAGTGATCTTATAGTATATGGCATCTGTTCCTAAATTTCCAGCAGTAGGATGTTTATGCATCATGTATAGAATAAGTTCTACTTCAGTTCATTTAATAACTCTAAAGGGATAAGTAAGGTCTTTTCTATTCTTTTTATATAATAGTTAATGCTTTGTTTCGAAATATTTAGCTTGTTAAATTAGTTGTTTTTCTTCTATGTTTGTCAATTCTTTAGGTAATATGTCTAATTCTAAATAATTATATAAGTTAATATATTAATCTAAATTTATTGGAATGGTATAGGTAGTGTCTGAGTTGGCAGCCTTGAGAGTGCATCTATATTGGAATGAACTCAGTCTAGTTTATGAATAATTTTGAAGTTATATAGTTGTAATTTAAGTATTCATCTTCCAATTCGTCTTTTAGATTCAGCTGTCCTTAATCATTTAAGAGCATAATAGTTAGTAATAAGAATAAACTTTGCAGTTCTTAGCTATTTATGAAAATGTTCGATTGCCCAAACTATGGCAGCACATTCCAATTCAGTAGCATCATAGTTCATTTCTTCTTTTTGAAGGCTTTTACATATATAAGCAATTGGATGTTCTCTTTTATCTTTTCTTATTTGACTAAGTGTAGCACCAAAGCCATAATAAGAAGCATCAATGGCTAATATAAAAGGGTACTTGAAATCAAGATAAGCTAGGATAGGAGCAATGGTTAGTCTTCTTTTTAATTCATCAAAGCCTTTTTGTTATTCAAAGTGCCATTCATATGCAGTATCCTTTTTCATTAAATGATTGAAAGGTCTGACTATGATTGAAAGGTCTGACTATGCTTGAAAAGTTTTGGATAAATTGTCTATAATATCCAGCAAGTTCTAGGAAAGATCTAAGTTGAGTTACATTTTTAGGAGGTTGTATATTGTAAACAGCTTCTATTTTCTGAGAGTCTGGAGCAATTCCATTTTCAGATATAATATGGCCTAAGAAGAGTAGGCTTTGTATCTAAAAATTATATTTTTCAATATTAAGACATAGTCCAGCTTTTCAAATTTGGGTAAAGACTTTTTGTAGATGTTCAAGATGCTCATCAAATGTTCTTGAGTAGACAATAGTGTCATCTAAATATACCACTACAAATTTCCATACAATTTCATTATAAACTTGATCCATTAATCTTTGGAAGATTGCTAGAGCATTACAAAGTTCAAAAGGCATTATATTAAATTTATAAATGCCATATCGAGTAATAAAAGCAGTCTTTTCTTAGTCTTTAGAGTTCATATTAACTTGCCAATATCTACTAGCAAGATCTAGAATAGGAAACCATATTGATCTAGCAAATGCATTAAGCATTTCATCTATTTGAAATAAAGGATATGCATCCTTTTTTGTAATAGTATTAAGTTTTTTGTAGTCTATACAGAAATGTAATTTTCCATTTTTCTTTCATACTAGTACAACAGAAGAAGTCTAGGGGCTATTAGAAGGTCTAATAAGTTTATTATCAAGCACCCTTTGTATTTTTTCTTTTATAAATATTTGCTCTGTAGGTGGCATTGAATAAGGGCATGATCAAATAAGAGAAACATCTTCAGTATAGATTTTATGAGTAACCAAATTAGTATAACCTAATTCAGTTATATCTGATACAAAAAGGTCTGAAAATTCTTCTAGTAGTTTTCTAAATTTTTGTTCTTGTTCTAGTTGTAAGAGTCCAATATTTACAGCTGTTTCAGAGATCAAGATGTATTCTTTATAAGGAATACAGGTCTCAATAGAACACACCATTTGGGGTATAAGGTTGCTAGGATTTGTCTCAGGCTTGTCTGGGTCATCAGGTAGTTTTTCATCTTGCCTGGGATTATTTAAAAATTTTAAGATCTCAAAAGAGTTTCAAGAACATTTTCTTGTTGCCTTATATATTGAAAATAGTTTTGAAAGAATTGTAGGATTTGCATATTGATGTCTTGCAAAGATTGAACATGTATTTGCAATTGTTGAATAAGTTGAGCTTGTTGATCCAACTGGAGTTGCATCTTGGTAAAAGGTTCAATATGAATAGGGTTTGGTTCTGAAGTAAGCTTGGTGTTTGGTAAATGTGATAATGCAGTATCACAATCACTACAGTATCTTTCATGTTGGTCTAATTCTTTCTGATGCTTAACATGTAAGCATTCTTTACAAAGGTCAACAGAGGTACTAAAATTGTGATGTAAAGTAGCAAGAGTGAATTGATGATTATATGCAAGATGGCTAATGTCAAAGAACTCATTTAACATTTGTTAAAAAAGAAGTTTATTATTCTCTTTAAGGGTTTCTTGTTCTTCTTATAATACTAGTTCCATGTTAGGAGCCTGCAAATTGCCTATTTTTAAGGCCCAGCCTGGCCCGCAATTAGGGTTAAAAATTTTTTTTAGGCCTGGCCCAGCCCACATTTAGGGTTACTATTTTTTTGCCAGCCCAGCCCGGCCCACATATGTTAAATTTTTTCTTCAGCCCGGCCCGACCCGGCCCGGCCTGCAAAAATTTCTTATATAATTTTACAAATTTTCAGGCCTGCACTGGCTTGCAATTATAAAGTTTTGCAAATTTTTCGGCCCGGCCTGGCCTGCAATTATAAAATTTTGCTTTAGGCCCGGCCCAGCCCGCAAAAATTTGCAGGCCGGGCCAGGCTGGGCCGGGCTGCGGGACCCAATGCAGGCCTCTATTCCATGTCATCATTAGACCAGGATTGGCTAAAATGATCATCAACTTGAGATTCAAGAGCTTCGATAATAGTTTGGTCACTTTTTCGGAGAAGAACAGCAGCAAGATGATATATATGAGTCTGGTTTAGGTTATATTGAGATCTAGCACTTCAGTTAGATTCAGTGTAATGTCTAATTCTTGTCCATAAATTGTAGTTAGAATTATAAAGAACATCCTGGCTAGCTTTATAAGCATATAAGTATTCAAGCTCACAAAACCAAAGTTCTTCACTAAGGCTTTCTAGTTGGTACATTCAAGAACAAGGTTCTGCTTTTTGGCATACTTTACATTTTACAAGTAGTCTATGACCTTCCCCTTGTGTATAAAAATAAATACTTCAAGAGTCTTCTTGATCAAGAACATAGTGGAAGTCAAAATAACAAGCATGACAGAAGAGTTGGTTGTTAAAAGCTCTTAGGAACTTAGGTCTTTCTGGAACATGGCATTGGCAGCAGTGGTGAGTATGTCTATAACTATAATAGAATAGTCTTTGAAATTCTACTATTTTAGAGTTACAGCTACACTTATACGAATAGTTTTGCTTCTGGAGGTTAGCCAAAGGACAATTAATGCTAATATGTCTATAACTGTTGCATGAGTTACAAATATTTTGTAGACAGGCTCTATAGAGATGGTTAGGTTGATTGCAAGTGTAACAGCTGGCTCTTTTTGGTGGTTGTTAAGAATAGTAAGTAGTAATATGTCTAGGTTGTTGGCAACGATTACAAAGGTTGGTAGGACATTGTGCAAAAAGATGATTTGGTAATCCACAGTTTCCACACACATGTGCTTTAGGTTGTCTTGTTCTACGCTTGGGTTAGTAAACAGTCCATTCTTCAAAACTATTGCTAAAGGATAGTTCAGCAGGTTCAGCATCAAGAGCATATGCTTTCAAAAGTGTAAGATATTTCTGTTCATAAAGCTTAAGCTCATCAGGATTAGTAACAATAGGTTGAGCTAAGAGTGGTTGGTCATTTTCGTAGGTAGTAGGAATAGCATGCTTTTTACTTTCCACTTAAAGAAATAGCATTCATTTTTTTAGTTGTAACTAGCTTCGACTTTCTTGGACCAGTCATTGCCAAGAAAAATAAAATATGAAGTAATGTCTACTACTTCAACAGTAACAAGGATAGTAATTTGGTCTATAGTAATAGGTAGATCTCGAATGACTCCTAAAGGTCTAGTAGAATTACCAGTAGCTAACATAATAAGACTAGAGGAGGCTTGTTCGATTTTTAATCCTAATTCTTTAACTACCTTATAAGCAATCATGCTTACAGAAGCACCACTGTCAATAATAGCTTGGTAAGATCTGTTTCTAAGTTGAATATTGCATTTAACAGGTATAGTGTAGATAGAGAATATAATGATATTGGCATTCTTAGCTTCTTCACTTAAATGTGCAGAAAGTGCAGTGCAAATAGAAGGGTTGGCTAACAAGGTTTCCCATTTTTGTGAACTAATTGAAGAAGAAGAAAAAGAGAATGTCTAATTCTAATCAAGATAGTAGACATCATGATAGTATGAAGAAGTAGATCAGTTGGAGGGATATCTAGAGTATTCAGAGCTTCTATTTCTTTAATAATTTGATAAATAATAGTTTCATTTACAAGATTGGCTTCTATTTCAAGGATGATCTCAATTTCTGAATTGAGAATAATTACATCGATTGTTTTTGGTAGGCCTTTGGTTATAGGAGCCTTGTCTTCATTCTCTATCTCCCTTTTTATTAATGCAATTAGAAATAAAATATTCAGTGCATCCACAATAAAAACAAGTAGATGGTTGCTTAAGTAAAGATGCTTGGGTAGGGGCTTTAGCATAGTTTATAGAAGTAGTAGAAGCAGGTTGTTGTTGCTGAGCTAGGTTAATACTAAGTTGAGCAATTTGGTCAGTTAATTGCTTAATAGTTTAGTCTGTTTCTGAAGGTATAGCAGTAGCTATAAGCTTTCCAGTTTTCTATTATCAAGCAGCATTGATGGCAGCATCTAGGTTTGCTGATTCAGATGCTTGAACATTGATAGCATATTCTGGTTGTAATCTTTGAATAAAGAGTTGAGTAATAAAAGCAGCAAGAAAGGCTATAGCAGGGTCTACTTTCTTTCATAGAGATCTAAATCTATTTACATAAGCATCAACACTGTCTGTTTCTTGTTTGATGTCAAATAATTGTTTTTGCCAGACTGCTTTTTGTTTAGGAGTACTAAATCAAGCTTTAAATAGATGCTTAAAACTTCAGTTTGGAGTAGCATCATTATTGTAAACATTAGGCTGAGGGTTCAGACTTTGGTACCAGTCTAGAGCAATGTCTTTCATGTATACAGAAGCAAGTTTTAATCGACAGGCAGCATTTCAATGGTTTGCTGTATCAGCTCTTTGAAATTCTTAGAGCCAGGTAAGTGGGTCTTGAGTATCATCATCTTGGAAAGGTTCTATAGTTATTAAGGCTTGTTCATTTCTACATCCTAAAGCAGTAGCTAGATTATTAATAGCAGTAGCTGCATTTTGTAAAGCTTGGTCAGTCATGTTATCAAGTGGGCCAGGAAGATTGTCAAAAATAGGTAGAAGTAGAGGAAGGAGTTAAGGTTGAGGTTGAATGACAATAAGTTAAGGTTGAACTAGAATAGGTTGTAATTAAGGAAGAGCAAGTTGAAGTGAAGGTGAAGAAGAAGAACTATCTTTAAAAGCCTGTAATGGTGGTAAGTCAATAGGAGTGTAATTTGAGCTAGAGGTTTCTGTAAGATCTACAGAAGCAGTAATATATTCTTCAGTCTTAATATTATTAGCAAAAAGTAAAGAAGATACTGGGAAATTGATTAAAAGAGGCTGTTGATGAGATGAACCAAGAGGGGTATAGTGACTAGCAAAGTGTTCAGTAGAAGTAACTATTTTACTATAAGAGAGTAGACTATCTGCTGAGTTAGTTAAGAGTAGAAGATTAGCAGTAAGGGTTATATTATATTCTTCAGTTGGAGGTAGAATAGGACTTCCTAAATTTCCTAAATGTTGACTAAATTGACCAGGTTCTTCAAAACTAAAACTTTGAGGTATATCAATATGAAGGTCAAAAGTGTTTTGGTGTTCAAAAGATAAGGTAGGAACTTGTAAGAATTGGGTATATTTTTGAACTAAGGCTAAGGCAATTTCTCTTGAATTAAAAGTATTAGATTGATAACAGCAACTAAAAATAATATCTCGAACACAAAGATGAAGTGTGATCTGATTGGGGTGGTTGGTAAGAAGAGCAAAGTTTTCTTGAGTTTTAGAAGTATGATACTCAATATGGAAGTTAGTTTTATACCAAGTCCAAAATTTTCTAAAAAATAAGTGAGGACTAGTGCAGGTAGGCCAATAACACTGGAGACAAGATAAATCTGAGTTGGTTGCTTGAAGCATGTCTACAGCAAGATGAGTTCCAGTTAAATAGATGTTTTGGTAACTTTGTATATTTTTGTAGTAGAGTTTAGCAGCAGTATGAACCATAAAAGAAAAGTTCTTCCTTGTCTAAGAGAGTAATCAAAAAAAAGTGTTCTAACTCTAGAACAATACAGCAGCTATCTTCTGAGACAGTTATGTTTAGTAAAAATTAATATAGCAGTTATCTTTCAAGACAGGTTATGTTTAATAAAAATTAATATAGCAGCTATCTTCTAAGATGAATATGTTCAGTAAAAAATTATTCAGCAGCTAGGAATCAAACTGGCTTTTATTTTTGCTTTTCGCCAAAAGGCATTAAATGTTACAGTAGTGAGGCCTTCTTTAACTTCTTACTATAACAATAATATGGTTACAAAGATTCTTTACAAGTTTATAGTAGTGTCCAAGAAGGAAGTATAGTAGCTTTAACTATTTAGCAACTATACTCTTCTCTGGGCAGTTTGGTTAAGACAATACAACAGTTTATAACTTTATTACTTGGGAGTGATAGACCTTGCCTATAGGAATTACCCTAAAGAGGAAATATCAATATAGTTTATAGATAAAGGTAATAATTTTATTTAAGAAATAAGGCTATCTGTTAGGTTTTTGTTTCTAAGGAATCCTTTTACACTTTACAGGAGTTACTAACTAAAAGGTAGAAGGAGAAAGGTGTCTATAACTTGCTTGTCTTAAGAAAATTCTTAGAGTTTATATATCTGTTAACAATCATTAAAGCTAAGCATCAAGGCTTAATAATTATTAGAGCAAAGTGTCAGATGTTAGGTGTTAAACAGCAAGTGTCAAGCATTAAGTGTCAAGCATCAAGCATTAAGCATCAAGTGTCAAGCATCAAGTGTCAAGTGTCAAGTATCAAGCATCAGGCATTAAATGTCAACTGCTGTAATTGATTTGTTCTATCTAATATAACTAAATAATAATAACTAATACTAATAATAATAATAATAATGC